TATCATTTGTTCATCTTCTAATGCACTATTTCTGGTTCTGAATTGGCTTCATTGATTATTGCGGTGACAAATTTTTATTTAATGATCGTTTGGAGATATATAGTTTCTTATGGCTGCTTATCAGCATCGTGGATTTATTCCTCTCAGGAAAAGGTCGAACTCATACTGCTTTACCTCCAATTTTCCCACTGTATATTGTTATATGTAAAATTTTTATCAATTGGTATTATTGTATTTTTTTTTTTTGCTTTTTATCACTGGACAATTTTTGAATCGGATTTTGCTCTTTTTTTTTATTTTATAATATAGTGGTAAATATAACGGTCGTTTTCGTCTCTTATCTTTTCATATTTTATTTTTTTTTCTAAATATTTTTATTGCAGGATATAGCAGAAGAAATTTGATAAAAATTTGAAACAATGGTTTTATCTTAAAGAACCGCTTAATAATTTTGTCGCAGCCGAATAGTAATGCTACTTTTACGTATGCAAGATAGGAATGTACGAAATGATACGCAAAATAGTGATCGGTTCGTTGAGACACTTCAAGAATATCTCATTTTATGAAATTGTTTCCGTTATAATTTTTTTCTCTTTTCAAGGTTTCTCATTTGGCTGGTTATAGGCATTAATAGAAGGGAGAACGAACTTTTCGTTAATCGTTTATCGAGGTATAGATTATTGAGCTCGTCTAGGAGACATCAGTTTACTCAATAAGAACGCAGAGTTATTAGAGTTCATCGATGTGGAGAATAAATGGATCATATGTCGTCTTTGCAGTTATTTTTATCCAACGTTATAAGAAGAATCGGAGAAATTTTGCTGAAATAAATAGGCCCTCCTCTATTATGTTAGATTTTGCTTTAGGTCTGTACTGTTTTGCCAGGAAGTTCGTCTGATTAATCACATTTCAAATATTTCTTTGTCTGCTTAAATGATTTGTTAGAGTAATGAGTAATTAAATAAAATTTTTCATTGGCTGATTTTTTTTTTACGAAGTAATTTTTCTTAAATTAGGAAATATAAATATTTCTTTAAAACTCTCCATAAATTAAATAATTTGATAAATCATTGCAATAAGATTAACAAAAGTGTATAATCAGCCGTTTTGCTGTTGCGTCGTCATGGAGAATTTATTAGTATTCTGTTAGATTATATTAGATTTTAAGAGTTTTCTAATAGTTGGATGAACAAATGGATAAATAAATGAATGATATTGTTGTTCGCTGATCGATTCGATGATACTATTTTCCATTTTTTTTTTTTTTTTTTCAGATTTGATTTGATTCAGTTGTTTGAAAAAAAAATCTCGAATAATTGTCAGTTGAACTTTTTTTTTTTTTTTTTTAATAAATCTAGTTTGAGAAAAAAATTTTTTTTTCTAGTTTCAAACATTTTCACAACCTGTCTTCACGTAATTCGACTAAAAATTTCCGACCTTGATTTGATTTAAATCGATTGTGATGGAAAATTTGTCGTCATCGATTCGATTCGTCGTCTCAATTTGATCTAATTCAATTCAATTTTAGTTCAACGTTTTGTTGAATTTTTTTTTTGGTTCGACTATTATTATTTTATCGAAAGAGTTTTTTTTTGTTTTTTTAAAATTAACGTTTTATTAAAAAAATTACGGAGATTTTTTTAGATGATTAGATTAGATGATATGACGTGACGAGATGAGATTTGAATTTATTTTATCTTAGATATTTTCTTAGGAGTTTTTCCACGATGTTGAATTAATTTTGATTGATAAGAAAAAAAAATTGTACGGATACGGAAAGGAATTTATGAGTGAATGAAGAAAATAGTTGCAATATTTTTTGTTTGTGCTTTTATTGTACGTATCGTTCATTTTGTACTTTTTTTACTTTTTACTTCATAATGGATTTTTTATTTTAAGATAAGCGGCATGATTTTCTCAGGAATTTCTTAGCTTTTATTGATAATTGATTGTTGTTATCGATAATGATAACAAGTTATAAGTAATTATACACTAAATTATACTACAAAGGAGGAGTTCTTTTAATTGAAATTTATTTAATAAAGATGGTAAATTGTATATTTTAGTGGATTAGAGTAGATTTAGGTAGTATAGTTATTTTCATGTTTTTTCCATGTTTAAAGATTAGAGAAATGGAAATGGTACCATTTTGGATTTTAGGAAGATTTTTAGGCGTTGAATTTTCGAATAATTTTTTCGCTTCATGCATGCTAATTGGATTTAATATAAGCTTTTTTTTTTCAATTTTTTGCTAGAATTTGCATTATATAGGTTTCATTTCAACGAGGGAATTCTTTACTTGGCGAAATGGTTGGCATTGAGCATTCGTAATAGAAGTTTATTGAAAAATTCACTGCAGCTTTGTTATTTTAATGGTACTACCACGCTGATTGGTTTAAAAAAAAATGCTGGTTGGCTGACAAATTCTCATATCGTTTTTGCAAGTTTCGCATTAGATTCGCTCGTTCGCATTATATGATTGATTAGGATAGATTCGTGAGTTTATGTGCTTGGATTAATATGTTCAAGGTTGCCTTTCCCTTTACTTTTTGAAATGCTTTCAGCGTTTGCTTCTTTATTTATTGCAAGAGTTTAACGCAAAAGAGTTCTTAACCTTACGGCAACTATAAAACTATAGGTTTTACGCGTTGGTTCAAAAAATGGAAGTGGTAGCATTCGTTCAGGAAAAGGGAAAATTTTCTATCTTCATTTTCGCTAGTTGAAATTTTAACTATAAACTATATAGTATAATGATAATATCACCATTTATCACTGCTAGAATATGTTTTCATCTATCGCATTATAGATCTATAGAAGTGAGTTCTAGAGAAGGGCTCTGTGGCTCCAAAAAGGTTAAGAACTTAGCTTAATTTTGAGAAATATTATTCGTTGTTGATAGCCCAATTTGTATATTTTATTTTTGGCTATAATAGAATTTATCTGATTGCCCATATAAACATAAACAAAAATTGAAGAATTGTTATATAAAAAATTGTTTTTTTATCAAAAACAATTTTTTATCCATTGATTTATTCTCGAACGAAGAGTAAAGTGCGTTTTTAAATTCATTGCCCATCTGGCTGGAATGTACATATAATTATTGTAATGCTATTGTGTATATATTAACTATGATTTTTTTTGCGTCGCTTCCTTTTTTTAAAAATTATTTTATCATTTTTTTTCTAAAGATGAATCTTATTTTTTAGACGGGTTTTAACACATCGGGGTTCGACGGCTACTAAACTATTAGGAACGACTGGAGTTTCATTGGGGGGTGGTGGTGGTGGACAGCACATTACTCACGTATTTCAAGGTTACTTTGTATTGCCATTATATTCTATTCTTCTTTATTGATATTTTCTTAGATTGTCTGATTATTTTTTATATTTTTTTCAATTTTTATCCTTTTTTATTTATATTATTCATTGTTTAATTTGTGCGAAAATATTTGCCTTAGATGAAATTACTAATGGGATGATAAGATTGTTGAAAAATAAATCCATTTTTTCAAAATATAAATTCTTTTTAGTATTTTCAAAGAATTATTTTAATAAATTTGTTTGTTTAATAATTATATTTAAAATACATCTATGTATTTATATTTTATATTGCAATATTCTTATTTATTATTTTATATTATTTTATTTATCATCTAATTTTTTATTTATAGTTAGATAAAGTTTAATAAGTTTGGATTAGAAACAATACGCAATAAAGAAAAATACGATTTTATTATGATTCTCAAATAACTTAATTAGAAATAAAAATATAAGGGAATTTCTTTAAATATTTCTTCCATGAATTTTAGCGAATAATTATTCCTAATTTGTGAAAATTGGTGTCAGTATTTAGAAAATATTTTTAATAAGGAAAATGGAAATTGAGTTTATTTTTCAATTAAATTTCCTTTGCGTTTGGTTCGAATCGATTTCGATTCTATTTAAAAATGATGTATTAAATTATTACTCACTATCATATCATTTATATTGGGGGAATAGAATGGTTCAGTGGGTTGTTGCTCAATTGGGAGCGCCGATGCTGAGGTTCGACTTCCTGCAGGAGCAAACCTATATAAAAATTCGGGTGATACTGGCGACTCACCTGTATTTCTATCACCAAGGGACTCCCTGGCTTATTACTCGATGTGGCAAGCCACTGGAGCGAGTTTGAGCAAAAATGGTGAGGACTCTTAAAAAAAAAAAATTTGAAGATGATATTAGTATTCGTTAATGTCATATCATTCGTATTATTTCTAAAACTTAATTAAAATAAAAATAATTAAGATAAGATAAATATAAAATTTTTTCCAGAGGAAATTTTCGAAAACAAAAAAAAATCAAAAAATTTATGATTATGCTTCGAGAATGAATAGCAAATTTCCGGTCTCTTACTCCTTCTTTTTTGCGCTATCACTCAATATTATTATCATTTTATTGAGAGAGATATCTCTCAACGAATTGCATAGAATAGAATATATATCGGCGTCAAATGTTTTGTGTGTTGGTGATATATGTTATCTATATTATATTTCTTTTAAAAGTATTAAACAAAAGCGATACACTTGCCGCTTTACTGGTTGCTTTAATGAATTTCGTCTTTAAAATTGTATGACATAATAATCGAACTTATAATCTTTTTTTTTGCTTATATAAATTTAATATGTATGGAATTTTTTTTATTTTTTTCTAAATTTTTTTTGCAAAAATTTTATGAATTGCAAATTTGGCAATGGTTTTATATTTTAGAGCAATTATTTTTTCTTTTTTTGATCATTTTTGATTTAATTTGATTTTAATTGAAATTTTTTATTAAAATAATATTTTTTGACTTCAATAATAATTATTATAATAATAGTAATAATATTTGAATATGCGTAAATTACTATTTATTTATTTATTAAATAGAAGACAACTGAAATTTATCGGTTTTTCGGCTGAGAGACTCTCTTATAAATGTTAATTTATTTTTTTTAAGGATATAACACACAGATAGAATCGAGCATGACGAATGCTAGAGGAACGGCTTCATCGACATCATCTTCTGCAGCCACATCGACTGGTGTATTAATGGTTGGACCAAATTTTAAGGTTTATTTTTTCGTCCTAGAACTCGAAACTAGTTTTTTTTGCAACTCTTTCAAGAATTATAATTTATTTTTAATTGAAATAATGCACGTTGAAATTCTCTTAAATTTATAATTTTGATATTTCATTAATGCATTAATAATGAAAATATTTTTTTATTTATAATATATATTTGTAATTTATAATTATTTATGATATGTATTTGTATATTATTTGTAAAAATAAAAATAAAAATATTAATATTTATTGAAACAATTAAAACAATATTTATTTATTTTTAGGTCGGAAAGAAGATTGGTTGTGGAAATTTTGGTGAATTACGATTAGGTAAAAATCTTTACAATAATGAACATGTTGCGATAAAATTAGAACCAATGAAAAGTAAAGCGCCACAACTTCACCTCGAATATCGATTCTATAAGTTATTAGGACAAAATGGTTAGAATATTTTTGTTTTAAAAGAATGAAAATAATTTAGGCAGTTTTTTGTTTTAAATTATACACGCTAGCCAATCTCTCATATTGATAGCTTTTTTTCTCTTTTGTTTAATTTTTTTCCATTTGTCATTAATGAAATTCGTTTCTTTTTTTTTTGAAATTTTTCCTATATATTTTTTTATTTTGAGAAAGGAAAAATTTTTTTTTTAGAAGGTTTACCTCAAGTTCATTATTTTGGACCTTGTGGTAAATATAACGCGTTAGTTATGGAATTATTAGGACATTCATTGGAGGATTTGTTCGATTTATGCGATCGGAAATTTTCATTGAAAACTGTTTCAATGATTGCCATGCAACTTGTAAGAGTTTTTCGCGAATTTCATTTATTATATATTTTGTTGCAGTGATAATGTGCACACCATAATAAAACGAGCAAATCAGTTAGTTTTTTATTTAGCCAAGAAAATTTTAAGGACTGATAAGTGTTTGCATTTTTGAGACATATGTTTTGTTATGGGTTTTATTTTCCCTTTCTCTTGAGAACATATCGAACATATCGTTTCTAGTTTAAACGACTTAATTGTTTTCTACGTAAGTCTAGGGAATCGCTAAAAATGTAGTTGAATTTCTAGCACTCAGAGAATCAATGTGCATATTACTATGTTTATAAATTGGTTGTCAAAACCAGTTATATTGTTTTATTTTTGGAAAAATTACATGAAGGCCGTTCCTGAAAAAAGTAATTTTTTTTTTGGTTAATCTGCATTTTTGAAAAGATTTTATATTTTCAGATTAAAAGAATAGAATATGTACATTCCAAACACCTCATTTATCGCGATGTGAAGCCAGAAAATTTTCTTATTGGAAGACATTCGACACGCAAGCAACACTTATTACATATAATTGATTTTGGCTTGGCAAAAGAATATATTGACTGTGATACTGGTTTGTGTTTGTCGTAAATTAGAATTTAATTCAAAATAAAAATAGAAATATTTTATTTTTATTTTTTTTACCTTGATGAATTGGTAAGAAAAAGTTTTCATTCTTAAAAGACTTTTCTAAATTAAAAAAGACAACATTTATTGGTATCCGAATGGCATTTCGATCGAATGTTATGTCATTATTTTAATTTTTGTTTTTTAATTTTATGCAAATTCCATAAAAGCCATTATTCTTATTGATAGATGGGAAAATTTATCATATTTTCTATTCAGGTAAGCATATTGCTTATCGGGAGCATAAATCGTTAACTGGAACTGCGAGGTATATGTCGATAAATACTCATCTAGGAAAAGAACAAAGTCGGCGAGATGATTTGGAAGCACTTGGACATATGTTTATGTATTTCCTTCGTGGATCACTACCATGGCAAGGCCTTAAAGCTGATACATTAAAGGAGCGGTATCAGAAAATTGGTGACACGAAAAGGTCGACACCAGTTGAAGTTCTTTGTGAAGGATTTCCTGGTTTGTTTTCGGCTGTTTTTTGGTATTGGATTAAATAATTTAAAAAATTGCAATTTTTAAATTATTTAATTTAAAGAATTATTTCTAATGCTCCTTTATTTCTGTTTTGGTTTTTGGTGGTTTAAGAACCACTCTTCCTTTATTTTCGGCGAAGCCCAGTATTGTTTACTGTTAATATACTATTTACTATAAAATATTTATTATACTATATTATATTATATAATACAATATTATTATTATAATATATATATTATATAATATATATATACAATATCTTAAACAAAGAGGCGAGAATTTTTTACTAATAGCTAACATGTCTTTTTCAGTGGTTTTGGTGGCTTAGGAACCATGCTACAATTCATATTTAGCATGGGCTGAAATCCACCTATAGCATATTGTCGTTTAAAAGGTCGCGTGTTAGAATTTCTGTTTCTTTCAGGCAGTACCCTGACGACGTATATTTTTTGTTGTTTAAAAGAGAATTTTTTCCTATTTTTCTTCTATTGATAGTGACATATGATGATTCACATAACAAGACGCGTTAAAACCAGATGAGTTGTAAATTGTTTTCGGCTAAGTTTTCAGTCTTGAAGCTTTGAAGCTTTCAAGTGTCAAGAAGTTCGTGGTTTTTCAATGGTTTTTCAGCTGTCTTCCAATTCAATGGATTGAGCGTTGCGATGGAAAATTATGCAATGTGGCTACAGACTAGATAATCCAGTTGGCAAGAGATAAGATTCTTATTGTTTTGGTTTTTTTGATTTTCATGGATTAGGAACCACGCTATATTTAGATATAGATATTTGGTGTGGATGAAATTCTTTCATAGCATTTTTTTAAGAGTACTCAAATAAGCTCTATCGCTATCTTGTCGTGCTAGACTAAGTAGGTAGTTCTCTGAAAAGTACAGGTGAATCGCGAATATCGCCGTCTTTGGTTCTGCTAGAGCGATGCATTGGAGAATTTCGAATCGTCAATAAAGATTGTAGACGAGATAATCCGATTGTTAAAGAATATATCAAAATTTTTGTATGGTCTAATTATAGTTGCCTTCATTGTTTTAGTGGTTTTGGTGGCTTAGGAACCACGCTATAATTAATATTTGGTGTGGGCTGAAATCCACCTATATCAGAATTATCGTTTAAAAGGTCGCCTGTTAGAATTTCCTTTTCTTTCGGGCATTACCCTAATGATATACAGTTTTTATATCTAAATAAAAGAATTATTTTCAACCCTCTCTTCTCTTAAACAGGCTTATGATGACTGATAGAGCGAGACGCTCTAACTAGGCTTATTTTTATGATGTGGATTGCTTTCGACCAAATGCCTAAAAGAAAATTGGAACATAACTACAAGTTTTGGCGACTACCTATTATTTTAATTATTTTGCGTCTGCATGTTATTCAATAATTAGTCCTCATACTTCAAAATTACAGGCAAGATAATCCAATTTATCAAGTCTTTTATTATTTCATCATAGGTAATTGGCAAAAATATAACTCTATATCTTGAGACTTGACATGTTTTCCTTTTCTTCAGTGGAGTCTTTATTTTTGGCTTTGTTATGGTGATTGTCATGGAATATAAATGATATCTTTTTCCATAATTAGGACCTTTTAGCAAGTTGCTATTTTATTTTATTATTTTGCTATAATTGGCAGTTCAGCCTCTTTTGTACGAATCATATCACATTAATATTTATAGGAATTATTGTTTTAAATTAGCCTTCTAATTTTTATCTTTTTCGAATATATATTTTGTAAATTTTGTAAAAGATTCAAAGGTAACTAGTTATTTTTTCAAATTTATCACCATGGAATAGTGAAAGAACCATTTACTTTGGACAAAAGTTGGATATTTGATGTCTTAGTTAAATATTTTTATATCCGTTTTATATTCACTGAAAATTTTTCTTTTATTTGATTATTTTCTTGATTATTTGATTATCTGATTATTTTCTTTGATAATAAATAATTAATAAATAATTAAATATGCATAAAACCAATTAATTATAAGAACCAATAACTTGCAGATGAATTTGCTCAATACTTACGATACGCTCGCCGATTAGATTTTTTTGAGGCACCTGATTATGAATATTGCTATAATTTATTTAAATCAGTTCTTGATAGGCTCGGCTATACGTGTGATTATGAATTCGATTGGACAATGAAGCTTAATCAAGTGGTAAATTTTCAACTCGATTTCTGAAATTTTTCGGAAAAATTCCAAGATTTTAATTTTTAGCTAAATATTTTTTTTCGAAATATCAATGGGAAAACTTTGAAGAATATATATATATATACTTGAATTTCAAGTCTACACCATCTGGTTCGTTGCATACTAGCGACGGAATTCATAAAGTTGATGTAAAGCGAGGTGCCACTAAAGGACGTGAAGATGTATTAAAACCTTCAAATACTGGTGATCAAGTAGCTGGTGGTTTCGGCTCAACGCAGGTTGTTATTGTTATTGTTATTAACCTCTTAATTAAGAATTTAATTCAACTTTTATACGACTTATTCAGCTTTTTAAACCATTTGTTTTTAAGAAATTTAGACTGCAGTTAAATGCAATAAACTTTTAAGGTGATCAATTCAGCAACTGGTGAAATGGCAGAAGACCCCGGTGGAAGATCCCAGCAGCCTATTAATTATAATGAAGATAGTGGTGAAGTGAAGTAAGATTTTCTTATTTATTTTCTGAAATTAATTGTTTTAATGATAACTTTTTTTGCTATCTATTAATCTTTTAATGCTATAATTCAGTGGAAGAACGACTTAAAATTTTTTACAGAATAAATTGCAGGTGTTGTTGTTTTCGTCGTAGAAGGCGAAAAACACCACAACAGCAGAAACAATGAAAGAATGAATTCGAGAAAAATATTGCGATGATGATTCCTCTTCATTCGCAAATAATAATTGAAGCAGTTGAAACATCATCTCTCGATCGCGTCGTCTATAATCATTCATTCAGCGACACATATAGACTAGGTCGATTTTCTTGGTGTTAAATTTTGTCGGAAATTGTTAATTCTGTCATATTTTTAATTTTTATTTATAATTTTTTATGTAAATCATTATCGATTGCAAAGGTGAAAAAGATCGTTCTTTATTTTCGCAAAAAAATGGTTATTTTTGCATTAACCGTTTTTTAAAGTAATGAAAAAATGCCTTTTGATCAATTTTAGTTTGTACAGCATATTTTTATAAGAATTTTTTTGTTGCATTGCTACATTCGATTTTATATTTTTTTTATTAGTTTATTTTAAAACATCGTTCCGTCGTTATTTTCATTCAAAAATTTTTTTTTTAAATGTTTAAATGTTTATTTTATTGACTTTGTTGAATACGGTGGTTAATAATATTTTTCTTCATAGTTGGGCGCAAATATTGCCCATCTTTCATGCAATTGCCTATATAAGTCGGTTATTCTTATTTGTATTTATTATTTATATAATTATATGGATTTTTTAGCAAAGATTTCTGGATAAATGCTTTGTCTAAAAAATTGTGAATAATTTTTAACTTTCTGAGTGATATAATTTTGCTAATATGTAAATTTCAAAGCACCTTAGGAATAATAATAATTTTTTACACTCTTATCAATAGGAAAAATATTAAGAACAAACCTTAAGAATTCATGTTATTAAATTGCATCCTTCAAGAATGACTTTGATATTTTATTAGTTAAAATATTATTTTCATTGAAGAATTCTCGTGGATGGCAAGTTAGGTTTAAGGAATTCTATTTTTTATTCTATCAGAAATGTTTAACTAGCAGTTTGAATGGTTGAACATGAATTTTTTGAAAAGCGTTCTATATATTTGATCTCCTAAAAACATTCATTTCTGATTTGGCTGGCTTTACTGGCTATTAGGAGTGCTTCGGTGGACGATCATTGGGGTTTTCGCTTAATGGCTCTAATATTTTTGAGGAGGATCAAGCGCAAATTCCTTGATTTCAGAGGCAAATTGCTTATTTGGTATATTCATATTTTATTGTTAAAGAATTTTTAATGCTTTTGGCTTTAGAATGAGGAATAGAATGGCTCAGTGGGTTGTTGATCGATTGGGAACGCTGGTGCTGAGGTTCGATTCCCCACAGGAGTAAACCTGTACAAAGATCCGGGTAATGGCGACTCATCTATATTTCTATTGCCAAGTGACTCCCTGGCATATTGCCCAGTGCGATAAGCCAGTAGAACGAGTTTAGCCAGTAATGATGAGGGCTCTTAAAAAAAAAAGTTTTTGGCTTGGCTACTGGTTAGATCCCAAATCTCAAATAAACTATTATTGTAATCGAGGTCTTATAAAGTGTATATTGCCATCAAAATTTTTATTTTCCTATTTTTATTTTATTTTTTCTTATTTTTTATTTTTATTTTATTTATTTTTATTTTATTTTTATTTTGTTTTTATTTTATTCTTAATTTTTTCCTTTTTTCTTGATTCGGAGATTTGAATCGTTGTGATTTAAATGAATTATTTTTGGTTTGATAAGACTTGAGCTTATCATTTCGGCCTAAAATTTCTACAATTCCTGTGTAGAAATTTATAAGAATTTCATTTCAATGAAAAATTTTTAGAAGAAAGAATCGCGATATATAAAAATATGAACGTTGCATGGTACTCTTTTTTTTGCCGTATAAGAAGATTTTCTAAACTTTCATGGTTTCTGGTTAAATTCCGCTTCACTGATTTATCGAATCATAAATTAGACAAACAGAATCACTTTACTTCAACGTATAGAAACAATAATATGTATTAAATTTGAACGATCAATGAACTGATAGGCATAAATCTAACGAATTAAATCACTTGCAAGATAAATTGGTTATTATATAAATCATTTGTCACGAAATAAATCAAGAAAATCATGAAAAAAAAAACTAAACTATGGTTAAAGATAATCGTAATCCTTCATGATTTCTGATTAAGCTGGCTTGGCTGGTTGTTAGTTTTTTTATCAGCGGATAATTTGACTATAGAATTAATAAATGAATCGACAGGAGATAAGATAGGATCCGAAGCCTGACATACGATAATTTAAGCTATTTTACATCGATCTATCTACGGCAGAAGTAAAGCAGTCATTAAAAATTTTAAGTAATACTGAAACTGGAACTCTATACTTCTCTATCTCCAGATGATAAGATAAGATCCGAAAATGACTTTGTGTTCCAACTTATAACCAATGAAGTAACTAGCGTAATGATAACTTAATTTATGAGTTTTTTTTGTTATTATAAATGATTGAAAAATTATTCTAATTATGTGAATGATTTAATAAATAAATAATCGTAAGAAATATTTCATTTTTATATCTAAATAATGATTTTGGTAACATGATTGACAATATAGATACTGATAAAATATTTGATAAGATATCTTTAAAGAGATAATTAATTCATAATTCTTATTTGTGAAATTTTTTAATAATTTTTTCAAAAAACAAACTATAAAATCCCTTCCTTAAAAGCTGTCTTAAGAAGGAATTTCGAAAAATAAAGGCGCGTAGAGTGTGGCCTTTAGACAAGTGCCTTTGTTCTTTTGGGAATTCATTTGTTTTAGCATGTGTGAATCGAGCGTTTCTAGTTAATTTAGCAAGCAAGTATTGCCATATTTTTGATGAATTGCTTGCAATAACGCTTTTATTTTTGTCGTCAGGCATTTGATATATTTGTACGCTATTTGTGTACCAAATATTATAAATTGTATATTTATTATGTGTAAAAATTATTTGATTTTGAATTTATGAAAAATTTATTCTATAAATAAATCTATAAAAACATATGGTGCGAATAATTAGTTTTATGTTTATAAAACTTTATGTTTATAAAATTTAATATTATAATTTACTAATATTTTTATTATTTATTAAAATTTTTATGTTTTTTATTTTCTAATATTTTTATTATAATTTTTATATTGTTTATTATAATTATTACTATTAAATTATTAAAATTTTATCATAAATTTTAAATTTTTTAATGATGAAATTCGAATATTTTTATATCTAAATAATGATTTTGATAACATGATTGACAATATAGATACTGATAAAATATTTGATAAGATATCTTTAAAGAAATAATTAATTCATAATTCTTATTTGTGAAATTTTTTAATAATTTTTTAATAATTTTTAATAATATTTTTATTATAATTTTTATATTGTTTATTATAATTATTACTATTAAATTATTAAAATTTTATCATAAATTTTAAATTTTTTAATGAAATTCGAATTGAAATTAAATTGAATTCGATTCAGTAAATAATTTGCTTATATTTCAGTGTTACTGATGATGAAATTAACGAAGAATTATCAATGTGAAAAATCAAATTTTTAAATTTCTAAATCAAATTTTGTAATCATTTATAAGAAAATAATAATAAATATATATTTTCACCTGAGAGAAAGAAAGCTTCCTTCGATTATTTGAAGCGTCCAAGTATATAAAAAAGAATTAAAGCAATAGGGTCCATGGTGGTGGCATCAGTGATGAAAAATCACTGATATATAAATGGAGTCCAACGGAAGATGAACTAAAGCAATGGGTCCATTGCGATACTATTGATAAGTGAATTTTTTTTAGTTTTAGTTTAGTTTAGCTTTGATAATAGCGGTCGATTTTTGTTCTTTTGTTATTTGTTGATTATTCAGTGTTTTATGATTACTTTGGTGTAATTAGCAATTCACCCGTGATGTAGCCTTATAACCAGTCGCTTGTGTATTATTTCCTTTCGAAGTCTTCTTATCGAAGAATATGAATCGTCCTAAATCAACAGACAACTGAAACGGCAAACAAATTATAGGTGAATTCGTAATAAATATATTGCTGATGCTTTCTATTCTAAAAAAATTTGCAATTTTCATTTCACGCATGACCATTTATTTATCGGATTACTAAATCCATTTCTCATTATTTTCTTATTTTTATTTTATTTTTAAAAAAAATAGATTTTTTTTTCGTGAATTTTAAAAAATTTCAGATAAAAAATGTCTAAATAATATGAAAAATTATTTCGAATGAAAATTCTATAAATCTACAAAGATTAGAGGAATACGATTAAGGCATAATAATTTTTAAGCTAACTTTCATAATTCAGATGATTGATGACAATCGTCGCTTAAGTCCCATTTTTCTCAGTACTCGAATATTTGCTCAATAAAATATCCTTTTATTCGAACTGCATTATTATTATTATTAAAATATTTTCTCTTCAACGAACATATTCTATCAAATATTCCATAAACTGCTTATTTTTTTCTTATTAATTTAGTTTACGAATAAATATGAAAGAATATAATAATACTAATATTTCCATAGATTGGTGAATGATTCAATGAATTGGTGCTCTTATTTCGGAGTACAAATGTTGGAGTTCAACTTTTCGAGAAGAGTAAATCTGTCTCTTTCGAAATTCCGAACGATAATGTTAGTATCTCATTTGTACTTCTATCGCCAGGTGATGCTTGTCTGGTTCGATATGCTAGCTAAGCGGCGATGAATTAGAAATGGTGAATGATTTTCGAGAAATTAGATATTTGTTTATAAAATTAAAAATTTTCCTTAACATAGCAATTGTCATAATTCATTCGAGATTTATTCGAATCTATTGCGAAAGAAATGATTTCATTAAAAATAATAAACAAATTTTTTAGAATATAATTTACATTTTAAAAAAATAAAAAAATATATGAAAAATGCAGAAAACAAATATAAAGGAAATTTTAAAATAGAAAGCTTAATTAAATACAGATGGCTAATGGATAATGGAATTACGAAAATAATTAAATTAAGAAAAGATTCGCCTTCATATTTTTCTAAAAAAAATATTTTCTTTTTTTTTATGCTAAAAAATTTATTAAATTCATCAATATATTATTAAAAAAATTATATTAAATAGAGATTTAATCTAAAAGATCTGTTATTACAAATAGTACAAACCATCCAATGATCATTTTTTTTCTTCCTATATTCTCTTCCTATATTTAGCAAATATCGCTAAATATTTAGCGTAGTATAATAGAAACAAGAAAGACCCTAGGGGGAGTTGGAAAAATGGAATCATGAAGAGGATCATTATATCATTATAAAGCCTAAGAACTCTACTTGGAAGAGGATGATCCGCTTGGGTAGCGTAGCCTTGAATCGGAAACGAATCGACGGCTTATGACGATGATAATTTATCGTACAATAACAAGCAAAATGTGCCAAAAATAGAGAAAAATGGAAAATTTTCACCAATATTCTTTAATGATAATTTGCACTACAATGAAGAAATATGTATAGCTAAATCTTCATAAAGATATCGAGAAAAATAATATGTAAATATCCACGGACCAGTTGAAATCCTCGAATGTGTAGGATCCTCGAATCTGGCGAACGCTTGGCGAATTATTAAAATAAAGTTTTATATAGAAAATAGGACGGTTTCAAAAATTTCCAAATGATATGATATGCTAAGAAATATGGCTTATCAAATATTCTTCTTTCCTATTTTTTGATGCAAATAAGATTTGGCTTTATTTGTTTCGTTTCAGATTGTGTATTGATTCATGAATGGTCAATACGATTCCGCAAATCTTAAGATAAAATCTCTAAATTTATGGATTATTAACATATTTTGATCATTGTTTACATACATGCATATGAAATAAATATTAAATGTCGAATGTTTATTAACAAAATGGTCGTTGTTCTTGATATCGTGCCACTGAGTAAGCTGAAACAGGGATTGGTGGTTGAGGTATTTGAGGCACCGCTGGTTGATATCCGTATTTGCCTAGAAGAGGTGACCGATTTGCTTTGAATATATTGAAAAGAATTTGAATAAGACATCCGGCTGATGAAAGAACTCCTAAAAGAGGATCTGCTAGCAATTTGACAGCAGTAACGGTATTCCAGCCACTAATATTAGGCGAAAGAAGGTATTGCAATGAACTGAGCAATAAGAATGAAGCTGCCATTGGATAAATACTTCCTAGAAGACCGGAAGATGCCACTGAATGATCATTTGCTGGTGCTGATCCTGAATAAAAAATTATGATTAAAGCTTTAATTTTTTTTTGAATTAATAAGTATTAATGAATAAATAAATTGAATTTATAGTAGAAAGTGTAGCAAAGAAATCATATAAAATCTAATAAAGCAACTGGGCAATCTTAAAAAATTTACCTATAAGTGTTAAGCATCCAAAAAATAATGGAACAAGGCAGCAAAGCAGCAAAATGAGTTCTCGAAGTGAAATAAATACTACTTCAATTACTCGATTTCCACCACCTACTAAACATATTCCTGATAACGGATCTGCATAGATCGATTGCGCCATCAATGCTAACATTACGGCGCCTAATGGTATACCCCATGCTAATACATGCGATCTTAACACTAAAGCATCCTGAAAAATTTATTCACTATTAGAATTCACCCTTATTGGTTTGAAGAAAAAGAAAAAGAATGATGATATTCTTACTAAGTGTTGTTGATTTCTTTGCGCATGTTTATTCCATGTGCAACATAAAAAAAACCACCAAAGTCTACCAGTGGTACCAAAATAATAGAGTAATATGGCGACTGTTGTACATGGTATATGTTGCATGCCGGATACAACGAATACACTCTTTGATGTGTAAACCATACAAGAAATCTAAAAAATTGAACTTTATTGGATTTATTTGGATTGTTCGTGAAAATTATTTTCGCACAATTTAAGCCTTTTAAGTTGGAATCAACTTATCAGAAATAGTCATTAGCATTAATCATTGATTTTTCACTTGTCAATGACCTAAGCCTTAATTTGAAACCTTAATGAATTTGTGGAAAATTATGGAGAATTATGAAATCATTCTTTTTAGGTAAAATAGGGTGGTTGCAACTCGGATTATCACACGGAGCGTCAAGGTTTAGATTTCGTGTCGCTGATAAAAAATAAAACTAAGTGATATTAGGGATTCGCCGGTATTTCTGATTTCCTAGCTAAATTCTCATCTCAAACATTGTAATAGTCGACAGAGCGAGCATATCAGAAATGGTAAAAGCTAATTTACTGACTTTTCATTTCAAGTTTTTTCATCTTTTAATTTTGTTATTAAGCTAATTAAGAAATTTCATGATTTTATTTTTTTTAAGAATTTTCACTATTACTGGTTATACTCGTTCCGCTGGCTTGGACATTGGACAAATATGCCAGAGAGTCCCTTTGCGATAGAAATACAAGTGAGTCGCCAGCATCACCTGGATTTTTGGTTTACTCCTGCGGAGAAATTAGGAAATTTTATAATTTTACATAGTCAACCATAAAATAGTAAAAAATAAAAACCGAAATAAAAAATATATAGCAAATAATTTTTGTAAAAATGAAAAAAAACAATACTTGATTTCTATAAAGTAGCGAAAATAGGTAAATAATAGCAGAAATACAAAACGATAGCGAGGAAAAAAATAATGAGAGTTCTGGAAGTGCAGTTAAACAATTTCGTCGAGTGCAAAACGTCAGGAGGCAAACTGATGTTAGTGCTATACAAATTAACGACATTATAAATAACGCTGCACTTGCACTTTCTCGATCCTCCTGCAAATCAAGCAATTTATTATAATTTAAAATAAAATAAAAATAAAAAAAAACATTTTCAGAAATTTTATAGATTACTGTCGTATATCCATGATTTGATTGGCATAGCGGTACGCAGTGACCAGTGCGATTCATATATATAGTATTTGGTTGGGTGCATCTCATAGTGGTACTTGGAATATTATTCTCAACTTGTTCATATTCTGGTTCTTCATTTGCAATTGGAATTTCTTCATCAGAAGTTGGTCCTTTCATGCACATCGCATCATGATTATTTTCTAAAAATTTGCTTTGGAAAAATCGAAAAAATTAATTTATTTAATCTTTTTTTTACACTAATTTATCATTTTATTTCTTAAATTTCGCCAAATGAAACCAATTAAATTAATTAGTCATATAATTCACGCGATCATAGCCAATTAATTATTTATTACTGAAAAAATAAAATGCGAAAAAAAAAACCTAGCGGGAATTTTGAACAATTCATTGAAGGTGGCCACGGAAATCCGAATTCTTTAAGAAGCGGTTCACATTTCATTTGAACTCGTTCACATAGCGGTCGGCATGGACCAATAGCGATTGGCACCTGTTTCAAATCAGTTACTTAATTGCCTCATTAAAAATAAATGAACCAAATAACCATTTAGATTACACTTATAAATTTAGCAAGAATATCAACTGCAACCGTAATTGCAACAAAATTGCTCGTTAAAAAAAAAAAAAAAATTAACTACCAATAAATTTTATGTCATAAATGATGACCATAGAAAAACAATCTATATAGAATAAATATAGAAAATTATATTAATAAAATTAAATAACAATAATAATAAATAGAAAATAATAAAAGGAAATAATTAACGCACTAATCTATTGAAATTTAGGACCACCGCTATAACCACCGTTAATTAATGGCTACAAGACAGCACAAAAAAAAAATGCTTTGTGCAGAAGATGTGTCCTTAAGAGTCCTAAAAAGCAATAGTAATATTTTGTAATAAATCTTGTACTATCCTCAGATATATCCTCAAATGATCACGTGGCAAAATAATGTCATTTTTGTGGATCTAGCGGATTTAAAAATAAAAAGAATAGTTGCAGAAAAAAAAAATGATGGGTCATAAGTACAAATTTTTTTCCAAGTTTTACGCATAAATAATATACGCTCAATATTTTTAGTTAAGCTTGTTTCCGCTGATCACAGCGCGATTTTGGAAATTTTTTGCCAGTGAATGATTTGATAAGAGAAATACATATGGGCCATCACTACACGGATTATTTACTCGTATCCGAGAGGTCGATAACTGAATTTTTGCCTTTCACGGCGATAATTTGAACCACTATCCACCAAGCTAATCGAAATGCCATTATGCCTAATTCCACTGAAATTCTCTTTTTCTCTTTTTGCATAAAAATTCTAATTTAAGATACATCGTGCTAAATGATTAAAATCTAAGAAATAAAATTACATTCCAAATGAAGTTCATTCATTCACGTAATATCGAAAATATTTTCTTACCGTTCTTCTAATTCTTCGTTTAATTTTATCAATAATTTTTTGTTATAATTAAAATATAATTAAAATATTGTATAAATCTTTAAAAAAAAAAAACAAATTCCATTAAAATCATTAAAATACCTATAAAAAAAAACGATATTCGAAGTGTGATAAAATATTATAAATTTTTATTTTTAATGTAAATAATTTACCTTATCAGTGCACATCGGGAAATATACTGAACATAAAAAAAATTTCAACTGCGACGAACATCTAATTTTAATTAGCGGATCGAATGTATTGAAACGATTCTCCGCATCACTTTCGCTTTCATCGCCAACCAAATTTGGAAATCTTCAAAATTTAATTATTTTTTTTTTTTTTAAATTTTTTAAGATTTTATTTTATATAAAATAAAATGGATCTATATTATTGTACTTATTATTTTTGTCTAAAATTTTTTTAGTCAACAAACTTATTGAACGAAAAAAATTTTATCAAAATATTTATATTCGAATAACAGATGAAAAGATAGATCCACTTCCGCGAGAATTCTAACATCGGCGCTCTGAAATGAGAGCAACGAACCCGCTGAACTATTTTTTTTTTTTTTTTTTTTTAAATTGATAAATATAGAGCGATTTATTTTATTTTAATAATTTCATATGAAATAGATCAAAATAATAATGAATGAAAAATGCGAAACTAAAAAAATAGAAGTTCCTACAATGATTTTTTTTTTTTTTTCCTGAGATTGGCCTAACATTGAAAAAAAAAAGTTTAATTTATGAGCGTTGATGAGAAAATTAATTACACAAACTGCTCTATTCGTTTATTTTGAAAAAAAAAAAAATTAATAAAATATGCGCGCAAATGTTAGGCTAAAAATTTAAAAAAACTTAAATTTTTTAAAATATAATAAATATTAGCAAAAAAATAGATTTTAAATTATCTCTAATAGAAATATGGAAAGCGCCTATTTAATTAAATAACTGAACTCTTGGACGCATAATTTATGAACTTCATTTTCAAATGACTCTCCAGCGAAAGAATCAAATCGCTTAATTGCCAATTTTAGTGAATTGCAAGATGAACTATACTATTTTTTTTTTTAATTTATAGGTAAATTTATTAATTTATATTAAAAAAACTGAAAAAACCCGAAAAAAACTAGTAATTCCTTCTAATTTTTTTTTTATAAGTGAAAAATTTTTAAATAAAATTATTATTCGCAGCTGACGCTAATTTATATTATTTTAAATATATTTCTCATCGAGAAATAAATTTTTTCTCTCTTATTTTCTTTAAAAATTAATCATTATATTTATAATAATAGTAATAATTAATCATTTTTGTTAACCATTAATTGACGATAATTCTATGAAATAAATTTTCGATAGCAATAAATAAATCTATTAAAATGATAAATATTTACGAAAAATTAATATTTGTGAAAAAATTAATAATAATAAAATTAATAATTAGTAAAATTAAAATTAATTAAAAATAGTTAAAAATTATATACTGGAAAATTTTCTCTAAACTATATTTTAAAAAATAAAAAACTTTCATGAACCATTCTTACTTTCTTTTATTACTTAGTACAAATTACGTTTTATATTTGCTTATTAGGTGTTATGACTTTACTTCGTCTCGTCTGTAATAAATTATTTGACCATTGCATTGTTTTAGCACGACTAGAAGTCATATGCAAGAGTCACTCACAACTGTTCTGTTCAATCAGTTTTTGCAAAAATATAAGGAGAGGTCAAGGGTCATCTTCAATTGGCGATCAGCAATAGTTATTTCCTAAGTTTTTGAAAAAATATGAGGAAGGGTCAAGGGTCAAATAGTATTTAATTGCCAAGCAAATAGCTAATAGAGAAATATTTAAAATATATATTTTCATTTTTTCAATGCTTTTTAAAAGATTTACGAAGATTTATGAAATTTGAAATGCATGAATTTAATTGATAAATAAATATTGTTATGAGAATAATAATTATAATAAGGAGAAAGTATTAATTATTGTTTTAAAAAATATAAAATACCACTATAATGTACATTTTTCATGATAAATTAGCGCTCTCCTCGACGATTTCTATTTTATTTTAAATATAATTCATCTTCTTTCTTTCCAATCGCTCGAAAATATTCGCTTTTCTCAGATTTTTTCCAATATTTCTGCATTCGCAAAGAGCTTTCAACAATTTTGAGCTCAGCGATAGATAATACAACTTAAAGTGAATTAATTTGATGACCACCGTCTATTTACTTAAATTTTTCAAGGGTTCAAAGATGAAAAATAATAAAGTATAAGAAAAAGTGTTAAAGTGTTAAAAAATATTTTAGTATGATAGTATTTAAGAAAATGAGTTTCTAGAAAAAAGGACTAAAAAAACGATCGTTTAGCCACCACGATAAGCAGACAATCTACTAGCACATCGGTATGTAGTAGATCGTCGAAAATCTGCATTGTTTCATCGGCCAAGTATATATACATTGAGCAGCTAAAACAGCATTAAGCATACAGAAAGTTCTAGCAGGAACGGTCGAGTGATATGATTGTTTTGATCTTTTGCATCAAGTACCATTCGACTGTTTGACTCTGGCAAAGATCTGGTAAATTCTAGAAAGTTCACTAGAAAATCCGGATGGTGCTGATAATATCCTTGTACTTCTATCGCTATATGACTTCCTAGCAAAAATTTCTGGACCAATAGCTAACGCACCAATCAGAAAAGCACTAATCACATTTAACTAAAATTGCAAAGGAATAATAAATTACGTCTTTAATAACCAAACATATGTGAAGTGAAAGGTTTAAATTAAAAAGAAAATTAGGAAAATTGGAAAATCCAAATCGAATTTTTCATAATTATTAATTATTGTAATAATATTGTAGTAATAAATGAATAAAAAAAACGCCATAAAATAATTTGGCACTTTTTCTTTGTGAATTTACAAAGATTTATGGTCATTTTATGCGAATATATTTGTGTATTTGCACAAATTTATATTATTGAAATAGATGATTTAGTGATTTTCGCATTTGATTAAAGTATAATCTTGATGGCGATAAATTTGGCAAAAAGAAAAAAGAAAACAAATTTTCGGTCACTGTAAATGAACTGTTGGTAGGTAGATAGGTGGTCGCTCGGTCGCTCTGTCGGATGTTTAATCATAGCTTCTTATTTGTTAAGATAATATTTTATCACTAATAAGATGAAAAAACGTCAAATGTCAAATTCACAATAACAATTGTGCGATTTTATGGACATATTTAAAGAATTTACTATCACATTTTTAACTAATTATTTGCTAGTAAATAAACAATATAAGAATTTCTCTAAATTATTGGCTCCTTACCAATGTTCTCCATAATAAATCGGCTCACTTGCAATTATTATTCTTTACAAAACTGGCGGAAAGCTGATAAAGCAAGAAATTTAAAAAATCAACATTTTAGTTATTCCTATGGGTGGAATTTTCTCAATATTCTGGTTTCCACGGGCATTATTTTTGGTTTGGCTGGCTGTAATGAATAATGACTGAAATCTCTTCGCTAGGGAACATATATCGATGGATATAGTACAATTTAAAAAAAAAAAAGCATAAATTGAATTAAACTGCTTCAATTTATAAAGAATCGACTTTGTAATAATTGCCCTAATATTGGCGTTTATGCTCTATGAAAGGCCAAAATAGGCGTTTTTGGTCAATTGGGGGAAATAGATATGTTAAGTAATAAGAACTGAATTGCTTAACTCTCATGGCAACATTTTTCTTAATTCTTATTTAATTATTTTAATCATTTTCATCATTAAAAAAGCTAATTCATCAAAAAAATCGGTCTGAAAAGAAAAAAAAATGAATTTTTTGACAAATTAGATTTTCCAGAATTACGCTAAATCCATTTATATTTTTTATTTTTTGAGATTTCATGTTTCGCGATGAAAAATTAAGACCATAACGAAAATAATAATTTATTATATTTTAAAATTTTATAGAAAATTCATTTACTCAATTCGTTTATCGTTGATACATGCACATAACATAACAACAATACAACATCGAGAAATTTTCTTGATAAATTATCCGTTATTGAATGAATGAACTTTCTAACCGGTTTTCGAATATTTTTCCGGTTATATTGAAATCTTTTTATGTGAATGAATTTTTTATCAACGAAGTGTGAAAGTTTTATCAATGAAGTATGCATTTTCAAAAAAAAACTGCGACTGTGTACACTTTTTTTAAATTGAAGTATCATAGCGACAGCAAAATTTTCACTACTACATTGAATTACTTAAATTAGAAATATTATGTTGATATTGGCTTTTAGGCTTTAAAAAAGGCCAAAATAGGCCTTTCTTGAAATATAATATAATAAATGAATATACTTACTTGATCGATTTAAGACCACCCAAATTGAAGGAAAGAATTTCTGGCGAAAATCAGTTTTTTATCTTTTATTCAAACCATCATTTGTTTCATTTGTTGTTTTTTTTTCGACTATATTTTTTTTTGCTTAATCTAGCAGAAAATATTTCTTCTAGAAAGAGATTTTAGTTGATTTTAGTAAAAATGGAAGAAAAAATATTATTAATGTTTGGAACTTCCATTATTTATTATTGTTATTACAGGCAAAAAAAAAAATTTTTTTCATTGCAACTAAGTTATTTAAATTATTTTTCACTAATCTTAAAGATTTTCCTAATATTTTTATTTTCTATTTTTTATATCTTTTCTTTGAAATGGATTTATTGAATATAGATGTTGTTTCAATTAATTTTTGGAAGGGTATCGAATCCGAAAGCATAAAAACGTCTTTTCTCAGTCACCGCCAGTGGGATCCAAAGCATTAGATTAGGTAGACGGACCGAACAGCTTGAAGACGTCTTTTTCACGTTTGTGCCCAGCGGAGTCATCCAAACCAACAATGGTAAGAGGAAGGAGGGAAAAAGTTTAGGTAGATTAGATAGGTAAATCCATCAAGCCAACTCGATGTAATGAGATAAATTTAGATGAAATATTTTATCTGTCAACGAAATTTATACCGTAAGAGATAGGATGAAATAATTTTATAGCATCGTATTTTGTTAACTGCTTGCCAATTTTATTTTTCAGTTCTTAAAATTAATAGTATTTCATAGTATTTTTTTTATTGAATTAGTTAAAAAGTATTTATGGCGAGTTGCTAAGGGCAAAAAGACTAAGTAAGCTTAGTAAATAAGTAAAAAAAAAACTAAGTAGTAAAAAAAAAACTAAAAGATAGGAAAGAACGAAATTTAATTAAATTACCGAAACAAAATGAAACCATGCAAAAAAAAAGAAAAGAAAAACGATAAAT